GAACAGAATCAGGGTATGACAGTGTAAGGAAAAAAATGAAATAATTTTATTCAGTTCCTTGGAATGTTAGTTTAACATGGTTTTATTCTATTGATTCATTTTAGCCCGTAAATACAATGGAATGGTATGGTTTCAAGAAGCGATGGATGTATAGACTGCCAGTTAATCTTATTAGTATCTTGATAGCTTTTGAAACAGCGAAACTATTATAATTTTCCCATTTAATTGTCAAAGTGAAAAACATACATGTTGGTGAAGAAGATCTGCACTGTTGATTAATTTCTATGATATGAATTTTCTATCTTATGTATATTTTCTTGCGAAATCAGCAGTATGCACCAGAGATGAGTGGAGCGGCTCAAAAAAGCGCTCCGCCATAGCCCACTAGATTATTATCAGCCTCGCCATCGTGTGACTTTGCACCACATCGCCCGCCAAAAACATATTTTTAGGGACCATGATTTTGTAGTCACCCCTCATACATACTTTTTTAATTCATGATATCACATTAAATAATTTCAGTGTATATAACTAAGGAGCATGGGTGTGGATGTGAATGTAGGATGGGTGTCCAAGGATTGAGAAACAGTAATTCCTCGTCAGTTCCTCTGTAGTTCAATGAATATTAAAGCTAAAAATGTACAATATCCACGATACTATTTGCTCTGATACTCATTTTCACCCGTAAAAGTGTGAAAGAAATCAGTACGTGCACAGATTGTTTTAAAAGAAACATTACCGCGGCTTTCATGAATCATGTGACTGTGAGGCAATCACTGGTCGATTCCAATTCTTCGGAGGAATCACCACAGTGACACTGACTATTCCTTGACAGATTAAGAATTCCTATTTTTCAGCCCTTGGATACTGCTGTCTGCCGCGGGGGAAGTGAGCAATTCTCCAAATTTCGGGATATGTCGTAGTATTCTCTAAAAAAAATTCAGTAGCTTCAATGCACGGGGAAACTGCTAAATCTGGCAGTGCATCACGACCATCCCGCCCTGCTTATCTCTGATATTCATCATCAAATTCTCGTTACTAATACAGGTTCTGGAATGAAAGTAGTGATAGGTGCAATTTCGCTGACCTTCAAATTATATGTAAAGGATGTTACAAAACCATTGCGCCCTCCTCTACAACTTAAAGTATAAATGACATCATAAAGTATTTCATACGAAATTAATGCTTATCAAAAACTGAATTTATGAGTGTAGTTAGAACAATTATTGATTAAGAAACTATTGACATTGCTTAAATTACATGTCAAAAGGAACTCGTACTTTACGATTTTTATTCTTCATGTAAATATTTTCAAAAAAAATTATAGCCGATTTATGATCTCCATCAAAAAGCAAACCTATAGACATGTCATTTACATGTTCCTTTTTACGAAAAAAGACTTTGGGAAAAAATCATGGGAGATACTCCGGACAAAAAGTTTTTTGCATTGAAATATCTTGATTTATATATCAGTGGACGCAGTGTTTGACGGAGATCAAGACTTTGAAGCCATTTATGTTGATAAATCTAATAAAAAAGTAAAGCTTGAAGTATACGAGTTCATTTGGGCAAAAACTATCCTTGATTTTATAGTATTAGGTCTATACAAGAACTACCATGGGATACCTTCCAGGATTTTTTTAAAAGTTTTTTTCATCAAAAATATACAAATGATATGTCTATACATTTTCTTTTTGATGGAGATCACAAATCGGCTATAATTTTTATGAAAATATCTACATGACGATATGAAAATCGTAAAATACGAGTTTCTTTTGATATGTAATTTAAACAATGTCAATAATTCCATAATCAATAATTGCTCTAATTACACTCATAAATTTAGTTTCTGATAAGCATTAATTTCGTATAAAACACTTTATGGCGTCATTTATACTTTAAGTTGAAGAGTAGACCGTAATGGTTTCATAACAGCCTGTACAATAGGATCTTTAATTGATGACTTTTGACTGCCATTCAATATTAAAATTTTCTAGTCATATGAAAACCAATAAAGTTTTTCTATGTAATAGTTTCAGTTTCTTTGGAAAGGAGAAACTTAATAGTATTCATTTTTCATTGTTATTGTAAAATGTTCAATTCTTATTGCTGTTATAAAGAGTCATAAATAGTGCTCTCTAAGTATGACCGTTCTTGACATATTGAAAACTGTAATGACTGCAGATTTGAAGAAAGAGAAAAAGACTTCATAGTCTATATCATCATTACAGTTAAGCAGATCCCTTTTTTTCAAGCAGCATCTTAATTATATTGTTGACAAAGTCATAGTGACAAGTGTATATTATAAAGTTTCTTCTGTGGAGGCAAATTAAAATAATTATAAACGATGGATTCGGTTAATCTTCTTTTACGATTAGAAGAGTGTGGTGTGTGATAAGAGTCAAAAGTCTTCGTTTCCATAGTCAATTATAGAGGTAATTACTAGATAGAAATAAAAACTGAAATATTTCCCATATTAGTCGAAGTAAAATAACATCTTCAATAAGACGTAAATGAAATACAAAAACACTTTTACATAATGATGGAAGAGCTTCTGTGTCTATCATTTTTTTTCTATCTGCATCATATATATTTGAAGAAACTGTTCATCAAAAGTAGTTGATAAACAACATAAGAATAAACATAGTATGTCTTAAAATGTTTCTCACGCACATGAAAAAAAAATTGGGAAAATTTAAAGAATATTTATTGTATATGAGAAATGTTCGAAAATTAGCATTGATTAGTCCCTTGATTAGATTGAAATAAAACTTTGTCATGTAGAAAAAAACTACTTTTGTATCTACAAGCTCTAACTAGATTTGATCAAAAATAATTTGTAATTTCTAGTAAGTGTGTAGTTCGCAAACAATGTTTTAAACTTTTCATTGACATTTTGTGGCGTTTTCTATTTTCTAAGTCCGAAAAGTCTGATTTGACTCTTCTTTGAAAAACTCATCACCATAAGTAGTGAGATCTCTTCACAAATTAGGACCTATTAATTCAATGAAAATATAGTATAACAAATATATTATATACATAAAAATAATATTAAGACTAGGAAATTTCTTATGCAAAGTATCATACAGAAATATCAAAATTTAGTTTAATTTATATTCGATAAATTACGAAAAGTAAAAAATTTATATGTATAATAAATATAAATTATAAGTAATTTACATTTATTATAAATGTAAATTATGATAATTTACACTTACTCGTAAATGTAAATTATCATAATTTACATTTATTCGTAAATGTAAATTATCATAATTTACATGTATTTGTAAATGTAAATTATGATAATTTACATTTATTTGTAAATGTAAATTCTGCAACAAAATAATTTACATTTATGATAAATATAAATTACTAATCATTTAATTTACGCGTAAATTAAATTAAAAGTAAATGTAAATAGACACCCCTATGGAGAAGAAAATAAACATTTTTACGAGATTCAGCACAGATAAAAGCCCATATTTTCTTCAAAATCTCAACCGAGGTGCGTAAAAAGGTGTAGTTTATAGGAGTTGTAGCATACAGGATCTACCACTTGAACGAAAAAATCTGCGGCTTCCGCGCCTTTGGAGAGTAGACTCTAGCCTGCAAGACTGATGAATGACAGTGAATAATAGAAAAAAAGCTTTCCTAATTTTCAAAGCGGTTTTTCGAAGCTTCTGCCAAAATATCGTAGGGATCATATTCCATGTTTTTGAATTTGACATAGATTGACGTAGCTCTATATCCACTTTCGAGTGGTGAAAACTACAGGTTGCTAGTTGTTTGTGTACCAGAGTTCTTCAACTTCTCTTGATACACGTGCTATTTTAAAAAGGACAAATTGAACTCGAGGATGTATTGTAATTTTTTCGGCAACAAGAGAAACATCACAATTGGATTGATTGTCTAGTCAATACATCATATATGGCTATCTTATATCTAGTTTAAATCCTTACAAAATTTGTTAATTATTTTGAAGTTGAATAAAATTTTTACGAAATACTTGATATACAAAGACGAAGAAGACAAGTTACAAGGTTAAAACAGCAGATATGAAATACTAACAGTACGAAGGTAGTTTGTAGTGAGGGGAAAAGAATGAGGAAAGAAGGGAAAAAACGATCTATTACAGTTACTGTGATCATGATGACTGTTTTATTTCGCTTGTACTCGATAATACAGATACTATTAATATCTAACAAAATGACGATGTAAATTTTCTTTTCCTGAGAAAAAGGAAAGCAAAGGCTTCTCTTTTCTTTCCTTTCTGAAAGTGAAAAAATAGTGAAAGTGCAACCCCTAACAAATATTTCTAGACTAATAACTTTCTTACAAAATGAATGAGAAGAGACAGTTTATAGTCATTGTGAAGATGATGTTCTACTGTACTTTTTCTCTTTAGAAACTGCTTTACAAGTATATGTATTAGTATAAAATTATTTCATATATTGAACGAGTTAAGACTTCACAATCGCCTTTTAAAGTGAATAGAAATCAAGAATATTTTCTTTAGACAGTGTTTGAATAACTATATATACGATTTCTAATGGTTACTAAATATATCTGAAAGCACTTTTTTTCACAAATGACATATTAAAAAACATAATTATCATGCTAAGATGATGATTATTGAAAACATCAAGAAGATGAGAAGTTTTGGGTTGAAGATGTTGAATAAGAAGGAAAAGTCAAGTGAGGAAAAATACCTATTGCCTGCTGACGAAGTTGTTCATGTCTTAAAAGTCATCGGGTCACGATTATAATTAGCTTCGTTTCATAGCTAAATCATGACTAGGTTCCTATTACTTAAATAGAACTGCACATTAGATTATATATGAACTTTTTTTTGTCAAAGCAAACCGAACAGAAAAAAAACACACAATATAATTATGTTGTGCTTTTAATGTTTCCTTCTTCAAAGATTTCAATTCAACAGAAGTTTTTAGCATGCTCATTAATATTCGAATCAATTTTGGGAACGATAATATCATATTACAATGTTAATATCTTCATCATTGATTGATAAACTTTCTATTATCCAAAGAACTCTAACAGTCTGCATATATCCAATATGGCTTGCGTTTGGTATCATCGGTTGTCTACTCAATCTCATCGTTTTTTCTCGTCGAAAATTACGAACAACTTCATGTTCTATTTGTAAGTATCAGTATTAGAATTCATTTCTTATTACATGAAACATTACTTTTCAAAACATATTTTAATATTTAATGAATTATAGTAATATTTTGTTACCGTATGATGTATTTTTTTAGACTTTTTGGCAGCATCTGCAGATCATTTAATAACATTAATACTTGGCATTGGAACAGTATTTTATGCTCTCAATAATCCTGATCCACAAATACAATCACTTTTATTTTGCAAACTACGTGGTTACATATTTCAAATATGTTTAATGCTTTCTCGTTGGTTTATTGCATTTGCTTGTATTGATCGTTATGCATCAACTTCAGATAAAGTTCATTTAAGAAATTTTGCTAAACCAAAGATAGCATATTATATAATTATCATTATTATTATTTTTTGGTCAATTATTTGTTCTCATCGACTTATATTTTATGAAGTCAAAGGAAATCTCTGCGGTATTGTTAATAATATTGTAGCGGCATTTTATCACAGTGTGTATGTTATTCTTGGAGGCGGTATATTTCCTTCTATGATTATGATGATATGTGCATGGCTTATTCGTCGAAATCTTGCACATAGACGCATGAAACGGACACAATTTTCATTAGGCAATTATCAACGAAATCCACTAGATCAACAAGTTCTTCGTATATTATTCGTGCAAATTATATGTTATATTATATTTACAACCCCTCAATTATGTAATTTAGTATTTAATACAATCTTAATAATGACTCCTGATGAATCAAGAGATGAATTGGCTTTTGAATCATTTCTGAATTTTCTAGCAGAATTAATGCTTTATTTATTTCCAGTGTCATCATTTTATTTATACACACTTACATCTCGTACATTTCGTAAAGAATTAATTGATTTTTTTCGTTTAGTATTAGTCAATTGTGGAAAAAATCGAATTACACCAATAACACCTGCTTCGATTGCTCGGCGTAATATGGAAAAAAATGAAACTATTATAAATACATCTGCAGCATAAACGAAAAAATAAAAAAATCTAAAAAAAACTATTGTTATCATTAGAATTTTTCTTCAAAGAATGAAATAGTCATCTAATGGCAAAACTTATACTAGAAAGATAAATATGCTGATTTGTATTTCAGAGTATATAAATGTGTGCTAGACACAATTTGAAAATATGCTTGGATATATCCATAAGTTTAAAATTTATTTGTGTATAAAAATGAAATAGTAATTTATTCAATGGGCAATAAACAACATTACGATGCAAAATTGAATTTTTCTGTTTCTGATCATTCATAGGAACTGATTTTCTTTGGTTAGCCTAATAAGGATATTTTGCAGATTATCAAATAAGAAAAATATATGTCGCATTCGACAATCATGTTCAGTTGGCATCTACAACAATGAAAGGAAGAAGTCACAACAAACTTTATGAATGAGATTACATTGATTTACATAGAGAAAATTTTTAGGATTAGTTAATGTTGATGTCAACGCTTATAATATTTTAAATTTTCAAGCATTGAACACAGTTTTTTTTGCAAGAAAGTTGCTGATTGCGTTCTTAAAGAGCTTCAGTTGTGCTTTTTTGCGCCGACGTAATATAGCTTATAAAGTTTGTTTTAATTTATTATTTAATTCTGTTAGGTAACTACTGAAAGCTATATTGGAACACAAGTAGAAAACTTTGTTAGCGGAGCCTCTTTGGGGCTGAAATATGGAACTCACATATCTTCTTTGATTTCATTATACTAATCACAAAATATCCAATATTTAAATTCTCCAAAAGATTTATAGTTCTTTTCTAATGATAATCGATTATCAGAAAATGCTGTCTTTTTTTTATTTTAATATTTCGAACAGAAATTTTCTCTTTTTTGGTAAAGTTGCTACGGTCTGTAATGGGAAGTGTCTGTAACGGGAGAGGGGAGGAAGAGTCGCAAAACCTTGACCTTAAAACTTACACTCACTATTTTCTTTGAAAATATATGTGAGTTCCATAAAATGCACTATTGTGAAAACTCATATTGTGTAAGATATGTCAAAAAAACCAGTCGTTCTATATCATAAATGCATCAGACGTCATAAATTCAAATACGAATAGCCAATATGAAGAATGTAATCGCCTGTTGTACACGATCGCACATGTTCGTAGGTTATTCATGATATAAATTGCACTTATCAAGCATTTAGCTTTTTATTTTTTGCACTCAACAATGAATTCAATAGTGAGCATGTGTTTAATAAAATATTTGTCTTTACTCAAATTAATCCTAATAACAGATTGAATAGCAAGTATTCATATTAAATAAATAAGTAATATTCCATGTGTGTATTAGGCGAGCGGAGTGTAAAGAAAGTGCCTCTCCTATTAAGTTAGAAGAAGTCTATTTGAAAATAATAGCTTATAGCATATGTCATATACGACACGACGAGATATGATCGTAATTCTAAAGTCACGTAGCAAAACTGCATAGCTTGAAAAATATAAGTGTCTAAGAACGCATATATCTGTTAGCAATCTGTCTTAATCTTATTCCTAAGATGCTAAAAATTATTTTTCTTACTTGCCAATAGGTAATACTTCTTTAATGAGCTGAACATAGTACTTAATTGAAGTATTAAATTACATTTATCGCATGAAAGTAAAAGCTTTTAAAAAATATTTATTGCTCATCAAAAAAGACAGCCTACTTGAATCAATGTCAGTTTGATGATTCCAACCTACGAAAACAAGCGGATTTAGTTGGTACTAATCAGATAAATGCACGAAAATAATTGTATTCAGTCGGAAAACATTAGAAATCAAGAGTACGCAGAGGCAGCATTACCGATCAACATGTCTCTGTATTTGTCCAATTACTTTTGATCATTGTCTGCCGGAACTGGTTCTTATGAATTCATCTGTAAATCGAAATGGAGTTATTGCAATTTTCTGTCGTGCTATTTTCATATCAAAAAAACTGCTCAAAATCAGATTAAAATAGATTATTTTTGGATCAATAATCTATTATAATGACACAATTTTTATCTGATTTTAATCTTTTTTAATCTAGTTTAATCGATTTGAATTGATTAAAATCAAATGAAATCTGTTTTAGTGCTGAAAAATCAGATAAAAATAGTGCTATAAAAATAGACTTTAATCTGATTTTCAACCGGTTCTTTTTTACATAGATTATTGATGGTCATACTATATCTGATTTAATTATTCTTTGTGTTGTCTCTGTATAAGATAATCTAATTTTACAGAATATATTTGAGCATCATGGCTTTTATAAAAAGAATAAAACGATTTACATGTTGAAAAAGAAAAAATTTGGAAAGAAATTAGTTTATTTTTATAACGCCTCTGGATAAGTTTATAATAAGGTTTTAAATTCATTTAGTAGCATGTTGCTATTATGTCATGTGAGCATAACTGGAAAAAATTTTCTTACATATACTTCTCTTGAATATTAGTCTGATGTTTTTGACGTGTAAATGTTTGGTAATGACGGAAACTATGTAGGAATACATTTGTATCTGGTAGGAATATTTTCCAAAATTTTTTTCACCTTGAAAATTTTTGCATAAAAGTGTTCATCTATATCACAAAAATTTCCTATTTATTAAAATTATTAGAATATCTGATTACGATAAAATAAACAAAATTGATTGTTCTATGATTCACTAATGTATTGTGTATTAGTTTCTTTTTTAGAAAAATCAATGCATCCGTTAGGAAAAATAAATAAAAAATAATAATCATAAAAAGTAAGTCCATAGAAAATAACTGTAAAAAAAATTGATTTGAGCAATGAGTATCCTCGTCCCCATAATACAAGAAACAGCTTGTAAGAATAAAAATTTTAGTTTCAATACTGATATTGAAACAATGTGGCTTTCTTTAATTAACCATTGTCCAGTATGACTGTAGGGGTGTTTTATTTTATTTCTTAACCGTATTACCAATTTTCCGGAAGTTACTTCGATTATATAATTCTTTTTCCAAAAATACAAAGGAAACTGCGATCACCTATCAAAAAAATGTTTTCTAACTAGTCTATTTTGATAAACCGTTTTTTTTTCGGTAGGATTATCTTATCAAAAAATTTTCGAGGACAATTAGCCAGTCTGGAGCAATTAGCTTACAGCTGTTTGACATCCTTATATTACCTGAAAAATAGTCTGATAAATAAAACGGATACGGCTGTGAAGGTAAGTGAAATATAGACGATAGAGATTGTCATTAGAAATAAGCAACGAGTAACATAAAAGATGAAACACTCCAGGAGTATGGTTATGACAGTTGGAAGCAAAAAATTTTCCATGAAAGAATAAAAATATATTTTTTGAAAAGCGAAGAAATATTCAAGGGACTTGTTTTATACTAATGAGATCTGTCATATAGTAATTAGAATACGTTCATTATATTGATAACTTCTTACTCTTTTCAAACATCTGTCGTGTCAGTATTCTCAAAAATGCATTTGCTTTTTCAAAATCATGTTAAACTTTTAAAATAGCTATTCTCGTTCCTTTTACATTCAAGAGGCGGATATCATAAATTATTAACTGTACTTCTAGTAGTATTTTATCATAGCTTGTTATTTATATTTCTCTGTTACAGATAGATGTATTACATAACAATGCCATCATCTACATCTTTAATTAGTACGCTTCTTACTGTTCAAAGCACTCTAACACTATGTGTTTATCCAATATGGCTTGCATTTGGTATCATTGGATGTTTACTCAACCTTATCGTTTTCTCTCGTCCAAAATTAAGATCAACTTCTTGTTCTATTTGTAAGCATCAATATTAGAATTGACTTTTATTAGATGAAACATCACTATCCAAAACATATTTTAATATTTAATGGATTACGGTGCTAGTTTTCTATTGTATGTTTGTTTCTTTTTAGATCTTTTTGCGGCATCTGTAGACCATCTAATGACATTAATTGTTGGCATTGGACCAGTCGTGTATAGTCTCAATAATCCTGATCCACAAATACAATCACTTTTATTTTGTAAACTACGTGGTTACATATTTCAAATATGTTTAATGCTTTCTCGTTGGTTTATTGCATTTGCTTGTATTGATCGCTATGCATTAACTTCAGACAAAATTAATTTAAGAAATTTTGCTAAATCAAAAATAGCATATCGTATAATTGTTATCATTATTATTTTTTGGTCAATTATTTGTTCTCATCGACTTATTTTTTATGAAATCAGAGGAATATTCTGCGGTATTGTAAATAATATGGCAGCAGCACTTTATCATAGTCTTTATGTTATTATTGGAGGTGGCATATGTCCAGCTATGATTATGATTATATGTGCATGGTTTATTCGTCGAAACCTCGCATATAAACATAAAAAACGAACACAACTATCGTTAGGTGATAATCAACGAAATACACTTGATCAACAAGTTCTTCGCATATTATTTGCGCAAATTATTTGTTATATTATATTTACAATTCCTCAACTATGTAATTTAGTATTTAATACAATCTCAATAACAATTTCTAATCGATCAAATGAACATTTAGCTATTGAAGTATTTGTTGCGTTTCTAGCAGAGTTGATGCTTTATTTGTTTCCAGTGACATCATTTTATTTATATACACTTACATCTCGTACATTTCGTAAAGAATTAATCAAATTTTTTTCTTCCATGCTCAGTCGAAAAGGTCGAATTACCCCAGCAATTGGCGGCACAACTGCTACTTTCCATGTCGATCATTAGAAAAATACAACAAACGCATCAATGACTTCAATTCCTTCTCAAATATTCATACTTGTATTCCCAAGAATATTTGTAATAAAGTGCAATTTGTAAAACGAAAACACACCTATAAGAATTTCAGTCAAAGTTGGATAGAATTGCTAGATTTAATCTACTAACAATTAGAAATTTCTTTTTCACTAAAGCAACAGGTAACAAAGACATGATACAAAAAAAGCATACAATAAAGTAGATAATCACATTGTAGTTACATGAATGGGAAAACGTTAACAATA